ATAGCAAAAACAATAGAAACAGTGGGCTCTCTTTTCATAAATTCCCCATAAAAAACAAGTCATTTGTTTAAATGTTATGAACAGGTAAGTATTCATATCAACAGTAAATTTAGTTTAATCAGTATTTAACTAAATTGTTTTTGATTATCAGTATAATATGTATATATATATATATATATATATTATATTTTTAGGTTAGGAATCAGGGAAAAAAATGGACAGATATAAGACTTGGATGGTAAATATGGGAAAACCAGCAACAAAGCACATGAAAGTGTGTTCACTACATTGTAATCAGGATGATTTCATATTGAGGATTTGATTTGAGGACCCAGGTGGGTTAGTTAGCTTCGTGCTTGCCCACTACACCTTGGGTCGTGGGTTCGATTCCCGCCTTGCCTTTTGGCTGTTGTGTATGTCATGTTTCCTGTAATTGGGCCTCCAGCTTGTTAGAGACATCATAGGATAAAATAAATAAAAATAAAAATATTACCTGGTAAGTACAGATTTGTGTAAATGTTGTTAATGTATAATAGACAATAAATGAAATATTGTAGATGTAAGTATCATTACTAAAGAATTACTACCTAGAAGGCCCAAAAATCGAGACTTTAAAGCAGTCAGAAGTACAACAATGAGAAAATCTGAAGGTTACATAATTTCAAGTACAGATAGTACTGATGTAAATTGCTTCGACAGCAGTCAGTTACATCAAAAAACTGTTTCAAGTATGTATACATTTGATGATATTTAAAAAATACAGATTATTTTCTAGCATTAGAAATGGAAACCGTGCAGGCTTTGTTACATTTACAAAATTCACAAAAAAAGGATAAAAATATTCAAGTGACAAGTGGAGATTTAGTGGCACCTTTTATAAGTACACTTAAATCTGATAATGATTTAAATACAATGGCTGGAATACCATCCTTTCTGTTATTTAATGCTATTGTTGCAAATTGTGAGATGTTTGGAAAATTCTGTAATAAACATAAATTAAACTTGAAAGAACGTGTTCTGTTAACTTTTATGAAACTGAAAAATACATTTTCTTATGCTGTTTTAGCAGTTTTGTTTAAAACGGTGACAGCAATAACCTGTAATATTATTCATGCTTTATTATTTTATTATTATGCATTATTCCACTCATACATAGTATGAAATGAACACTTAATTTAAAAAACAATAATCGCTATAATCAATAAAGTTTTCACAGAAGTTTTAACACCACATGATTTAGCATGTGTTCACTTAAAAAGTTAAACAAAGGGTTAATAAAATGAGAACTACAAAAAAAACTGACACAAACAACGAAACAGGCTGTAAACTGAACAAATCCACTACAAAAACGCTCGATTTATTAACACAAGACACTTTTTTCACACGATGGACACTTAAGACTTGCCATAAAGGATACGTCAAATATGCCTTAGAGCGGCCATGTTGCAGTTAACAGTGGCGCCCCCAACGGTCATTTAGTTCGCGTATACTATTCTTTGAATAACACGATGCTCAAAAACATGTTTTACATAGTAATTTCTTCTAGAGAAACAATAAGGATTTTGTAATTAAATTCCACTCCTTTGGCTCTTGGCGAATAAAAAAAATCATTACAATTGAGATAGGGCGGGTGGGCGGGTTTCTTACATTTTGCCTTGTTTTCTTAATATGTGTAATCATCTTTTCATAACAAGAAACTTAAAACATGTATGTTTAAAACGGTAAATTTGTATAGGGAAATATCGATTTTGCAATTATACTCCGCCCCTCGGTCTGACAACGAATAAAAAATTCATCATGATTGAGATCGAGATGGATGGGTGAGGCTTCTCTTTGGGTTTTGTTTTTGAATTAATGCATTTAGTTTTCTTTATATAACATGATTACTTAAGAATATACTTCATATGGTAATTTCTCGTAGAAGAATAAGGATTTTACAATTAAGCTCCGCCCCTCGGTTCACGACAAATAAAAAAAATCATTAGAATTGAAATAAGGCGGGTGAGCGGGGCTTTTATTTTACCTTTTTATTTTGTTAATATTCATAGCCATCTTTTCACAACAAGGAAAGACATGGTTAAAATGGCACATTTTTGCAATTATGGGGCGGAGCCTAATTGCAAAATCGATATTTCCTTATACAAATTTTCTATTTTAAACGTGTTTTTATGTTTTCTTCTTGCGGAAAGAAGTCTACACATATTAAAAGAAAAAGTCAAAATGTAAATTCAACACGTATAAAATGAGATGATGCAATTTGGATGTTTCTTGCGAAAGTAGGGATGCCTAGAGTTAAAAGTCAAGGCGGATTCATGAACCACAAGTATAGGAGTGTGTTATTTTATAAAATTTAAATGGCCTTTACTAAAAAAGATTTTCTGGAGACGTTATCAAATTGTTGTTGGAGACGATCAGAAAAATTCTGGTTAACTTTTTACTATCTATACATATTCCTAAGATAAATATATATCAAAGTTTATAACAATTGATGCAATAGTTTCGGAGATTATTTATCTAAAAGAAATTGAAACAGAGCGGCGACAGGCGACAGTTAAACGGAAAAGGGAGACCTACTTATTTTTTCGTACAGCTGGGGTCATAAAACATCGAGATCCTATATACTTCTTTATAAATTTAATGCTCGGGAAGTTGAAATATAAAGTTACTTACACCGTACTTCCCACACATTAAAGACACAGCTGGTAGTAGGTAGTGGTATTGAGTATACTTTCGATGGAAAGGACTCGTTCAAATAATTTTACATATTATTTTAAATGTTTTGAAAATATTAGCTTGTAAAACAGAAAAACCTTGTTCTGAAACCACACACTGTAAAAAAAAATGTAATTTTACCGCACGTAAATGTAATAATTACCCATATTAAATGAGTGATTTTACCTTAATTTTGGGGTAAAACAAATTTAACTCCTTATTATGTGTAAATTTACTTTTTGTGGAGGTATTTTTTGGTCTTTGTGTATTTATACCCTATTTTTAGGGGTATACTACACTTTCATGCAATTTTGCATCTTATTTGGTGTAAATTTACTACAATGAGTTTTAAAATTACTCAACTCTGGGCAATTGTACCGTACGTTTTGAAGTTATCGCATGCATACGTGACCAAGACTATACTCATTTGGCGCGCTGCAGAAATGCTGTGTCAAAAGTTTGTTACTGGTGAGAAGCAATCATTGTGTGACGGATCATTATTTGCAGGTAAGTCTCCAGTTTATATAAATTTCGATACATTTGCATGAATTGTGCATGCCATTGCTTATTAAGGTATTACCTGCACACTGCAGAGTAAAGTCTAGCTAGAGCTAGGCCAGCTAGACTGCTTTAATCGCAGTGTGTTTACACTGTATCCTAACTTGCTCTAGCTAAGGTGGTCATAGAGAGGAGCTAGATTTAATCTAGCTAGATCAGTCTATGAGCTGTGTACACTAGAGACCGGTATACTACAGTGCATAGTGTGCATAGTAAAGTTGTATTGCAACAAACGCAACGATGGGACTTTTGAACCTCATAATGTAGTATTGTCTATAATACACAATTTTTTTACTTGGCCTGCGTGGTCTCTTATTTGAAAAATTATAAGCATATTTATTTTTGAAATTTCCTGTATACACTACATAGACTGCCACTATAAAGCGATCACTCAGGTCTAGCTAGTGTAGCCAAACGATAAAAAATATACAGTGTGCATGTTAACTTATTATGTTGGTAACTGGTAGGACGCAAATTTCATTACTTCATGCGTTTGGAGATACAATTTGTGTAAAATTAAATATATATTGGTAACTAGTACGTATACTGACCTTTATTTCATTGGGTATAAAGTTACTATTTGTTTTGACAAAACTAAAGGTGTATATGATAGTGGGAATAACACCACATCCAATAATTCTGAAATTATCGGTAGTCATTTTAAGGATTTATTGACTTATGAACCTCTAATGATCTTTCAATTCGAAAATAAAAAATTATTTTGCTTCAAATCAGTACCTTTACAAATTTAAAGAAGATTGAATAGGTATTGAGTTGTTCAGGGAGTCCAAAAACATAATTTAACATCAAAATATATATCAGGTAAAAGAAAATTTTATTTTAATTTTCATTTTTGTATAATATTTAGTTACTTTAACAATTAAATTCATGCTTAACAGTAATACAACTTGTTTTAGCGTTTTAATTCTTTAAATTCTTTACAATTTCATTAAAATAAGTTTTTTACTGTTTTACTAATAAAAATTATTTGTTATTCCTTAAAGTCTGCATCATTAATTTAATATAACAGCTCTTAACCTATCTGCAAAATGTTTAATAAGTAAATGTATGTTTGTATAGTTGACAATATTATATTTATTTATGTATATATATATTTTTTTCATGGACTATGATGGATAAATGAAGACTTTTCCTTAATCATGGTCCTATTTAAAATTTGGAATTTGTCGCGAACAATCAAAATTTTTATTAGTCTCCCAGATGAAGAAAATAAACTTTATGAAACACTGTTCTTGAAAGGTAGGTAAAATGAAGTATTACACACACCGTATCACAGAATTAACATTTTTCGAGCTTCGGAGAAAATGAACTTAAACGGTTCAAAATTAGTTTTGGAAACAGATGGCACATATGTTGATGATGATGAAGTCCTAAAAGCTTTAGCTACAGAAACATTTATTTTATTAGAACCAAATCAAAACTGGAAATCAGTTGACAGTTTAAGTACTTGCAGTACTCTTACTTTGATTAGTGATGGGTCTATGATATATCCTGATTTAGGAAATGCAAGTATTAATCTAGGAAATATAATGAACTCAGAAGAGAAACATAACAAGGAAGAAAATTTTAAAAATACCTGGAGAAATTTTGTGAATCCCTGGGAAAAAGTTAGTATTTTAGGAAATAAGGTGCTCGATAACAAAAAAAGAAATCCAAAAGTTGTTAAGGAAGTGATTCATGTAGTAGCAAAGGAAATTAGATCGAAAGAACTTCAGATACCAGCAAAGTATTTGAAAAACATTGCACAAGAAATGTGTAAAAAATTTCCAGGTACATTTGAAGATCGAGACGACGACGGTGTTCTTATTGGAGAAGGTTATCATGGAGTATTTTTTAAATTGCAAGATAGAATAAAGTATTTGAATCGAACTTCAAATAAACGAATCGGCGATTTCGACAAAATAGACATTCCTTTGTGTAAGAAAAAGCAAATGTTGTCATCAAAAGCAGGATGCAGTTTTTGGGATCCTCCAGTCCCATCAAATGACTCAGATTTAAATTCCTTAGAAACGGCGCAACAGTTATTACAGACCAAAACGTGTGAAGTGGAATTTTCTGCTGACACTCTCAAGTTATTAGATCTCACCTATTCGGCTCAGAGAAGATATTTAAACCAAGAGGATCCACCATCGATAGTCAATATAATGAAACATTGGCCCATTCTCCTTTGTCAATCGGGTATTTATTGGCATTTTAACAAATTAATGGATAAAGATATTAACGAATTAAGTAAAGCCATGTTCAAAAAGGCCGAAAATATTATACAACTTGGGGTAGAGAAAAAGTACATTACAGAGATTCCAGAAGCAGAGGATGCAAAACTAATCTGCGTTTTACAAGTTATTTCAAAGTTTTTTACTGAAAGTTTAAATTTGTTGTATGCGCAGATACCTGAGGTAAGTTTGTGAGTATATCAAAAATCAAAATTACAAGTTTTTCTTTTAGAATGACGACACCTACAGAATTTTACCCAAGAATCATAACAGTGCTCCGTGGATTGCTGCAGTGGGAAGCGGTAATAATTATATTTCCATGGCGTATAGTAGTACTATCTAAAATCTAATTTTAGAAACTCAAAGCAATATGAAATACCACGTAATTGTGGAAAACCAAAAATTAATAATGGAACAGATACACTGACGCATGCCATACAGCAAATGTTTGCAATATATTATAATTTTAATCTCGCTTATCCCCAAGGATTATCACATATTTTAGAATTTATGCAAACGTATTTTTTTTTAATTCAACCCGAGCAGGGCACAAAGAGTACAAGGAAAACATCTCAGATGAAACTTTTGTCCATTATAAAAAAATTACGTGACAGAAAGGGATCATATTGGTAATGTATAAATGCATGAAGATTTAAGAATGTTGTATGGATGAATATTTTTATTATTTCAGGTGACTTTGATGAATACAGAGTAAAAATTCTAGATATTGTTAAAAAAAAACACTCTGATATAGTGCTGTTATACTGTTAATTAAAATTTATGTAGAATTATTTCGTAGTATAAAATTATTGTTACTCTTTTAATGAACTACATATTTATATAAACAAGTTTATTTGATTACATAAGTTTTATTTCTCATTTATATGTTTTAAAATTTACCAAACACCATTCAGTTGAGGAGTTGCCCAGTCTTAAATTGTATGGTCGCTTGTATTAAATAAATTCTATGTAAATATAAAAATATAAAATCTATAGTATCATAAACATTAAAACAGCTAAAAAATAAAAAACAATAACAAAAACATTAAAACTATTAACTGTTCTATAATTTGGTCATAAGATAACATCATAAGTGTTGTTCTTTTTAGCATTAAAACATATGATATTAAAGAGTGTTAAAAATGAACTAATTACATTGCACGGTCTATTCTGCTATTTAACAGGAACCGGATTTTGCCATTTTATAATTTTTAGTGTGGGCCAAATGTAGAAGTTATCTCATTGTGTGTTATGTAAGTTTTGTTTTTTTGCAGTTTTTTTTCTATACAATATAATGATATTTTATATAATTTTCCTAAATTATAAAAATTAACCAGTCAAAATTAAATATTTAAATCCGAGTAAAATTACATCATGCACAGGTAATAAGTTTACCCTAAAAGGTAGAATGGAGTGGGTAATTTTATCTTGTAAAGTAAATTTACACGTGAGTGGTACTTTCCATTTTACACTGAAATGTAATTTTACCTTGGAAAGTAAATTTACACCCGACTGGTACTTTTCATTTTACCCTAAAATGTGATTTTACATTATTTTGTAAAGATATCCGTGGAAGTAAAATTACCCCAAAAATAGGAGGCAACTTAGTTGCCTCCTATTTTTGGGGTAAAATTTCCATACAATTTTTTACAGTGCATATATCGGTTTAGTATGTTACTGAATTTATTAAACGATGAAATAACTTCTCGAAATGTTTTCAACTTTTTACTGACCTACTAATTAATTTTGAATGTTCCAAATCGTTCAGAAATAAGAGAAACTGTTGCTGAAACAATCGAAGAAATAAATTCCAAATAAAAAATCCCATGGTTGAAACAATGGTGAATTTTATTTTAAGATAATGTGGTGAATTTTCCGGAAACGCCAATAAAAAAATATATTTCAGTTTTTACATTCGAAGCTTAAGCTAAGAGAATACTGGGTCCATCTGTTTCCTCGACGTTTTATGATCTCTATAGTATGAAAAAGTAGGTCCCCCTTTCGATCTGTCTCTCTACGTTCATTTTTATTAGACATATATTCTTCGAAACTACCAGACCGATTGTAAAATTTGCCAGTCACCCCCACCACCAACATTTGATGACGTCATCTCAAAATTTTGCTTAGTACATGGCATATACATTTTATAAAATAACAAACCCCTGTACTTGCGGTGTATGGATTTGCCTTGATTGTGTTTGTTATTATTAGGGTTTTTATTATTCAAAAGCGGTCTTTAAATACATAATATCAACCTTGTGAGGTTCGACTTCCGAGATATCCACTTTTTTATCTGGGGCTTGTTCACCTGTACTTTACCAGTTCATACATATTTCTACTTTAAATTATAAGGGTTATTTTAATTTTCTAATTTTCGAAGGAGTTGAATTTTTTGGACGGTGCTTCAGGGGATGTATTAAGAAAATCTCGTTTTTCTTTAATTAAAAAATGCTAAGTAATTATATACGAAGGGAGAGAAAACAATTTTTATAACCGATTTGAATTATACCCGGGACGCACAGCGACGAGGGTAATAATGAAAGCGAGACTATAAAAATTGTTCTCCCCTGTGGTTAATATAATATTTCTTTCACTAGTAACACATTTATTTATCTTTTTTTCAATGATAATGTATAAGGTTGAAATGAATTTAAGATATCCATGAAAATCAAGCGGCCTGTGAAAACAAATGAATAAAAATGACATTAAATCAACAACTGGTACTTCTGTTTTTTCATCTAAAAACGAAAAAGAAAAATGTCAAGTAGTGAACAATTCTGGGGTAGAATTGTGGGAGTGAGTAAAAAGCCAATAAAGCTTAATACTGATTTTATTCAAAACAACCTAACTTATTTATACAAAACTAACTATTTACAGCGTGTGAATGGTTCTAAACTAAAGGTAATAAGACATATGAAATTATATTGCGTCCCAGTTTCTTGTATTTTCTTTTGTTCCATTATCGCTGTCTTCGTAACGCTGACGATGGTACTCTTGCAGTGGTCAGCGTGTCGTAGTTCTGCTGCTTGCAATTCCATGTTTCAGCGTTCTACATTCGCGTCGTTGGTCTTGACCTCGTTATTGGTGACGTAAAAAGGAAATTTAAATTTTAGAAATTATTGTTTAAATTTAGGATTTAAACAAGTAGCCAAGAAAATTGTGTGTGCACTCCTCAGTAAATCCGCAAAGAAGCGAATCAAATCAACACATTAACAACGGCAATTTAGATTAACCATGCCAACATTATCAATTGTTTTTAATATATACTAGTAGGACAGAAAAATTCGTCATTGGGTCTTCTGAAGCTAGTAGCAAAAATGTTTTTTTTTTTTGTATTAAAAAGATTAGACAAGTTGTCAAACAAGCATAAACAATCGTAATTTGTGACCGACGGATGTCTCCGTTTATGGTTTCTTAGAATAATGCGTTTGTGTCAATGCAAAATCGAGTCCTCGATAACAGAGGAGCCTGTTTTCTTTGATATTTCGATATGTATGGTTATTGCGAGTAGCACTTTATTTAGAATTGCATATACAGAATGACTCAAAACAATTAATGAACGAGGTAATTTATTTTATTGAATAAATTGAGAATGACTCACCCGATTTTCACAAAATTTGGGAATAGTTAGTGTTATAGTTACCTAGTATTACAGTCCACCTATCCAAATTGACATACGTGCCCTTGCTAGAATATTGATGACGTCATTATAAAATTTTGTAATGGAACAATTTTCTTGAAACATGCCAATAACATGCTTCTTTATTTTTACTAACACAAATATCTTTATTTTAGCTTATAGTTGTTATCCTTAAAAAAAAAATAAATTCGAAAAATGAAATTTTATATATTTTCAAAAAAGTTGAATTAGTTGTACTAAATAACCTTAAATCAATTTTTTTTATTTCAAATCGACGTTGGTGAAAAAAATTATAAACCATAGAATTTTTTTTTTTCAGAACACAACAGAACAAGGGATTTTTTGACAGAGAAGATGACCGACCACGTTGTATATACGTTAAATTAATATTTATTTGAAAAAAATCTGCGATAACGTCATCCAGGTGTATTGTTAAGTACTGTTTTGTGGTCCTCATAGCAAAATTAGGGCTATTATTACCGTTTAGCACGACTTAATTAAAAAGATTTTGAGACGACGTCACCAGTTTTTTGCAGGAAGTGAATACACAAATTCTGGTTAGCGTTTTCTTATCTTTGAACGATACTTTTAAAATAAATACAGAATTCTAAATTAGTAGGTTTTGCAATTTTGGAATAAATTTCCAATGGGCAGAGACACAACACACTTAAATAAAGGCCAACGAACTGTAGAAATTCAAGAAAACTTGATTAACATTTATCGAACTGTCAAACTGTTTTCTACAAGATTTTCTTTAACTGATGCTTGCTAAATAAAAAACAATATGAAATTATTTTCGAAATTTTAGTAGTAAGTACATAATATAAAACGTTTCAGACGTTTCTTTTTTTAAACGTATAAACACTGCATTTCTGTATAATTGAACAGAGAAAACAATTATTATTAATCTTTTTGTAAATTATACATTGAACACCGAGTTACTAATATTGAATATTTTTCATCCTGTTACATATTTAAACCTACAGTCCTATACATACCTACATGTTTAATTCTCTACTTTTTGCTTTATTAAAACTGCATTATAATCTGAATTTTGAGGAATTTTTATTCCACTAAAAGCTAGATAAGTCTCTAATCCGCTTCTTATCTTTTGCGATTTCGAAGACCCCAACAGTGGAAATCCTTTCAGTATAGCATACAGGAACTCTATTTTAATATCTCTAATGACACAGTCGACACAAACTTCTAAAACGATATCTATCATCATCTTAGTAAAACTGTTTTGACGTGTTAGTTATCCTGCGTAAATTTCTGCATACACCGTCCAGACAGTTTTGAAAAATCGGCGTACTTGTTGCCTGTTGAACTTTCCTCTACCCTAACAAGCCCCGTATGAAGTAAGGCTTTCAGAAGTTCGGAATTTTTTGTTTCGGTGTTTTCCCCAAAGAAATTGTATTTTAGCAGCAAGGGCACATTCGCACTTTTTCACCGCGATAATGGATCGCCACTGGGGGCCAACCGGGCAGAGGGAGCCTGTACAAAACAGGCAGCGCGCCGGTAACTTAGGGGTTGATAATTGTGATTTATAGGCAAACTGTCATTTGAGGGCTTGCGGCCCCGACAGCGCGGTTGCTTCATATTAATTTGTGATGGTACGGCCTTAATTTACCCACGTGCAAGAACTCTAACAAAAGCAAAGGCTGCTCTCAAATCGGATTTGGTTAATTAATAGAAATTCGAAGCATAATGATGATGATCGGGCTAATAAGAGAGCTTCGATCAGCGTTCGGTTATTTATCGCGGAGTAGCTAGTAATTAGGAGAACGAGGGTTGTACAGTTTTAATGCCGTTTTTAAGCGTCATTTTTTAATATCCATAAATTGCAATAAACGTTAATGGTCCGCGCTGCATTCGCGCTCACAAAGCTTTTTAATTCTGTGGAATTTTTACTGTCCCGGCGAGAAAAGCGTTAAAAATATAAGAAGCTCTTTTAAAGTGACGTCAATAGATTTTTTCAACGGAGGTTTAAACTTTAACACACTCCATTTGACGCTTCTCCAACGAGCTGCAGACGTATCAATTATTTATGCTTTAAAATTCCAGGCACTCTTTACTTGATATTACCTTAGTAATATAACATTACGTGAAACTTTAAAAC